ATAGACTCCACCCTTCAGCCATTTCCACCATGAGAACCACCATTGCCAGCCTCTGGGTGAGGACTGGAGATCACCCAGAATGACAACTGTTGTCAAGGTGACAGAGATCAGTTCCCCTGGATGAAATGGCTGTTTTGGAGGGTTGAGTCTATGGCATCATACCCTGCTGAGGCTGATTGCCACCCCAAGCCTCACTGTCCCAAGGCTCCACCCCCAAATCTCCAGGAATTTCCCAACCTGGAGCTGGCAGCCCTAAGGTGAAGTGATCTCTGTAGCTGGGAGATCCGTTGTGATTCCCAGACTGCTGCCACTGCTGCTGTGGGGGGAGAGGAAGGAGCACTGCCACCACTGCTGCTGCTGCTGCTCTGCGGAGTGGGGAAGGAAGCAGGCAGGAGGCTGGGAGAGTGAAAGAATGATGGGGTGGGGGCAGAAAGAGAGAGAAAGAGTGATGAAGTGGGGAGGCAGAAAAACAAAGAGAAAGATGACAGGTCAGAAAGAGAGAGGAAGTCACATGCATGGAGGAGAAATAGAGAGCAAGAAAAGGGGGGCAGAGGAGAGAAATAGTGTGAGAGAGGTAGGGGGTGAGGAGAGGAAGCAAAGGTGTGATGAATGAGATAACCATCCCGCAAGTTTCTTGCAGGTCTCCACTTGTTATTTATTAATTCAGATAGAAAGACCCCTTGATAAAAGTTATTACAAAATTATTAAAAACAATATTAAAAAGGCAGGATCAGAATTAATTACAAAAATAGATAACGTTTGTCAAAATACAGTTTAGGATAAATAAACTATACAGGTCTCCACTTGTTATTTATTAATTCAGATAGAAAGACCCCTTGATAAAAGTTATTCCAAAATTATTAAAAACAATATTAAAAAGGCAGGATCAGAATTAATTACAAAAATAGATAACGTTTGTCAAAATACAGTTTAGGATAAATAAACTATACACTGGACAGAAAATAAGACAATGAAATGTAATGTACATGAAATATATACTGACCAGAACATTCACCTAATGCTGGAACTGTCCACAGCAATTGAAATATTTTACAGCGGGCAATGATGCCGCAATTAGCTGAGCAAGGTCGAAAGACCCAGATCTGAGTTTAACCCACGAGGGGCCAAAAGTCTGCAGCCTTAAAATCCACTCCATTTCCTTGTTTTGACAGAACTTTCTCATTATGATGGTAAGATTTATACAAATCCCAAAAATGAAATCAGTGGGTCCATGTTCTTTTACCATAAAATGCTGTACCAGAGGTGCACCAACTATTTTGGAATAACTTTTATCAAGGGGTTTTTCTATCTGAATTAAATACAAATTTATGCTTGTATAGATTCCCCCTGACAAAGTCTGCATGGCGAAATGCATAGGGGCTTTGTGTAATAAATCATTCACCCATTACCTTGCATTTTTCTTTTTTGTTCCGTTGGCACATTGCTGGGTGCAGCCCAGATTTTCTTCTATTTGGCTGTCTCTCAGGCACACATGCCCATTCCTTTGACTAGCATGAATTTTTACATCTCTCTTTCAGGTGAAATGCGGTATGGGAATGAACATCGCAGGTGCTGTGATTGCATTAATGGGCATAATTCTATATGCATTGGAGTGGTTTCAAAATTCAATGGCTAGTAGGCAGGATGATGATTTATCAAGGGTAAGTGAACAAATTTCTTGAAGAACTTTGAGTCTATGGGTGAAATACACAGAAGTTGCTGGTCTCATTGCCAAAGACTCTAGCCACTCTTCTCTTCTGGAGGCTTTGGGAACCAACGGTTAGAAAACAACATGCAAAACTCAAACTGCACACAGAGCTTTCCTACATATGCATGATCCTCTTCTTTGCCTTTTGGCTTCAGAAAGTTTGAATTCTTGCAAGATCTTAAATATATGCAAAAGTTTAAGTTCATTTGTTACGAATTATCCAGCATCCCACTGCCCATAGTGGTAGGGTTGCCAGCTAAAAGGAATTAGTTAAAAGTAGTTAAAATAATTTCCAGTAGATAAGTTTAGCAATGTTTCTCAGATGGGCTTTGTTCACTATTTATGGTTATTCTATTACTTACTTCATTTATAGCTCATCTTTCTCCCAGTGGGAAAGCAAAGTGGCTTACAATATGCTTCCCTTCTCTGTTTTATCCTCACAAAAGCCCTGTGAGGTAGGTTAGGCTGGGAGTGTGTGACTGGCCCAAGGCCATCCAGAAAGCATTCATGGTGGTGTGAGGATTTGAACCTGAGCCTCCCATATCCTAGTCTGACACTCTTACTACTCTGGCTTTCAGTATTTATGGTGTCTCAGTTGCCGGGCTTTGCACGCTGGTTCTCCAGCACAGTTCTCCATCAAGGAAAGAGAGTTCGATACAGATTGAGGAGTTATCATTCAGTGGATCAACACTAGTAACCTTTCCATCAGTTTTAATAAAACACGCTCACGCATCACAACTGCTTCAAGCACTTGGCACTTGACATTCATGCCCGTCCAAGGGTACGAAAATGTAAACATCACAATAAAGGTACCAAGTATCTAAGGGTGGGCTTCCCTTTGCTGGAAGTTTTCAAGCAGAGGCATGGACAGCCGTCTGTTGGGAAGGCTCTCGCTTAAGATTTCTTCCACTCAGCAGGTGGTTAGACTGCATGGCTTATAAACCCCTTCCAGCTCTAAGACTCTGACTTTCCTTAAGATAGCAAGAAATGCAGAATAACATGCAGATACTCCACCATCAAATTCCCCATTTACCCTCCTTCAGTAAATAGCCAAGAGAGGGACCCTATTAACCACTGACTGTAACTTTCATGCTTCCTCTACTATACTCAATCCCCAAAATCAAAATTCCACAACCAAGTTCATAGCAGAATAATTATCATGATGGGATGGAGGCAATGAACAATCTGGCTCTTGCTGGTTTGGGGTTGTTGTTGTTTGTTTGTTTTGGTTTTTTTACTCCACAGGTCTCCTGAGTAATCTTGTCAGTTCTGTGGTTCTGCCATTTCCTGAACTTCTTGCTTTAAGTTTGTCTATTTACCCTGCTGCTTTCAGCAGTTATTCTCCTGCTGCTTCCCCCCCACAAATCCCTGGGGTTCTAAAAAGTAATCAGACAAATGACTCAAGAGGGATGATAATGGTATTTTCCTCTGATATTTAATAGGCTTTTATTTTAAATTGGTTTACAATTAGAACAATTCTCCAGTGTTCTTTCTATCTATCATTGTCATGCCTTGTGCGTAGCATTAAAAGAATGCGCAAATGAAATTTTTAGCATTATTTTTGCCTATAAAATAGTGTCTTTTTTTGAATATTATTTTTATTGGGTTTTTCCAACATAACATAGGTAGAGACATCCAAAAGAGTTTCCTTATACCTTGACACAAAATACTCCAGCATAACAAAGTTCTAATAATTATTATCCCTCTTAACAAAGACGTACAGGACTCTTCATATTTCTACGTAAGCTTCAATCTGCAAAAAGGAGAGAGAAAACCATTGATTTTAACAATTTGTAACATTTTGTTTTCCTAAATCCTTATAGCCTAATTAACACCAAAGGATACTTTATTGCTACTAGACCACTAGAAACAACATTACAGTACTGTTTTCCCATCTTATGGATACCTTTCATCTTCACAGCATCCCAGTATAGGTTTACACTAAATCTCAATAGCTAGCACCTCATTAATACATCCCATATTATAACTAGTATTTTTTTTCACAACCTCCTGTTATAAGTTAACATTACCTCAAACCATATTTACACTACATTCCACTTTCCCCTATTACATTTTTAACAATACACGTAAGAAACTAACATTTCAACCCTCAGATCATATCGCTTAATTCCCCCCCCCCATTTTTCTGTAATCTCTTCTTCTTAAGAGTCATATTTGGATATCATATCTCTTTAAGGTCATCACACTCTATTTCCAATTCTTTCACTTTCAATTTCAATGTACAAGCTTTCACATTTATTGCAAATCTAGACCCTTTCACTAGACAACTGGAAACTCACTTATAATCATGTTTTCCCATATTGTATCCTTCACAGCATCCTAATATAAATTTGCATTACATTATATCTCAGCTACACTAAACCTCATTACTACTTCCCATGGTTTAACACTTTTTCACAGCTTCCTATTATAAATTGCCATTGTCCTAAACCACATTTTTACTAAATCTTATTTTGCCATTACACATAAGAAAATAACTATTTCCACACACAATTCAAATAGCTTAACCTTTTCCTGGGTTTTCTGTAACCTCTTCTTTTTAAGAATCATGTTTAGATGCCTTATCTCTTTAAAAGCATCAAGCTCTATTTCCAGTTCTTTCCATTTCAATGAGCAAGTTTTTACATTTTTTGCATATCTATTCCCTTCCGTTGAAAAACATCCTGCTCCTTCATTAGATAAGCTAAACTGCTCATTCCATGAGATTTCTTGGAAGTCACCTTCTGCCGTTTCCAATAGAAAAAGTTCTTTGGTTTAGCCATTTGAATAGTAGCACCTTTAAAACTTTTCCCAGGTAAAGACACTGTATCTTGACACACATTTCCTTGATAAGAATTCTGTTGGTCAATAGGACTTTGCTGGTGTTGCCAAAATTCTTCTTTATTTTCCAAATCTTTCATATAAGGAAATGGCAAGTGATAGCCTTGTTCATCCTCAAAGTTGTACTGATACTGCCGTGGTTCTTCCTGAATTTCAAAATCAGAAGGTGGGTTCTGGGGCTTCTCAATAAGATTTTTGAAAGCTCCCTTAACTGCTTGCTGTATTTCCTCAAGCAAGAGCTTTTTAAATCGCTCCAAAGTAAGTTGCGACACCTCTAAGTTCGCCATTTCCTCTGCCTCCTCCAGCTCCATTTCAGACTGTTTTCTTACCCCACAAACCACAAAACTTAAATAATGTTCAAATGCTTATGCAGGAAAAATCAAAATTGTAGTGCAAACATCACTTCAATGTTGTTTCAAGTAGTAATACATTCCAACATTTCCATGAATAAAGTTATTTCTTTCTTTCCCCCTAAAAATTACTCAGGAAAGTTTTATTTCCATTCTCTGCGCAGCCGCTTTCATTCCTATGTTATGAAGCGCTCGAGGAAAAAAAGGGGGGGATTTTAACAAAGGTCTTGATAGTAAAAAGTACACATACTCACTTAACCGGTCTTATCTTGTCAAATGTTATGCTGAGAGTCCAATAATCTCTAAAAAAAAACAGGTGGTCATGACTGTGGCAAACATGGCGACCATGTTTGTCTCCTTGCCCCCACTCCTGCGTTGAGACAGTCTCTGGCTCACCCCACATCCGCCACTTGTGGGGTGACCGGGCGAGTCTTTTGCTCCCTGACTTCCCTCCAAGAAATCGGGTGGGGTCCGTGAAGGTCTCGAGGATCCAGGATCCAGGAACCCCAAAAAGAGCAAGGAAGGATGGTGACGCTTGGGAGCTCCCGAAACATCAACTGCGCTGCGCTGCGCCATTCCCAGAAGTCGCCTATGAAATAGTGTCAAACATGTCAAGAGCCTTGGTGATATTTAAAAACATTAAGTATGCTAGGAAAGTCTTTTTTTTTTTACAATGACATGTTTAAAGATAAATCCATACATCATGCAGACACCTTGAGCAGATTATTTGGATTATCACCACAGCCCCCATCTCTTCCCTAAGTGAATTTTTATTGGTGTTTTCAATTTTGTTGTACCCAGAAGGTTATTATTAGGGTACTTTGTCATATTGAGTGTTTCAGCTGAACTAATTTTCCATAACTGAGCGGAATTCTAAATGTGATGTGGAGTTGTTCCCTCACCCATCACATCTAGTTTGGGGCCTGAAAGGTGCGTAATAGGTGATTCATATGCTTCAATGTTCTGCAGTCTGTAGGGACTGGTCTTTGTGTCCTGCTCCTCATGTTCAGCTTCCTGGAGTTCTGCATTGCTGCTTCAATGGCGCATTATCAGTTCCTAGCTGTCTGCTGCAGCAGTGAAATGGTAAGCATTTGGTACCGGGTTCAGAGTTTAAGCGGCGGGGGGCTCTCTGGTAGCTCAGACCACTTTTCAAAACATAAAACCAAGCAACAGTGCAGCCTTCATGAGAAAGTGAGTGCAATCTCTTGAATACTTTATGTGTAATTTAAGAAAGGAAGAGAAATAAAAGTGCAAAGCACCGGTTAAGGAACGCTTCTTATTAAGAGGCACAACCATGGACATACTAATGTTTATGCTGGCAAGGATATCCATGATTGGGGAAAATATGAGTTTCTACTCACTGGCAGTGTGACATGGCTAGTCAGAACTGTGTGTGTAATAGCCATTCCAATCTCCCATAAGGGGAACCAGTCACACTACCCATAACTCAACTAAATCAGGGGGCCCAAAATCACTGCAGAGGGTGCTCCTACACCCCAAAGGAGGGAGAAGGGCTGGAACTCTTAAGAGGGAAATGAAATTTTCAATCTGTATACTGGAAACTCATGAATTTTTAAGCATTTTTAAAAGAATTATGCTGAAGAGGTTCCAGAACTCTGTTCCGATGTGTTCCCCCAGAAAAAAAATCCCGGGGAGGGAAGAAAGGAGGGGAAGCAGCCTGCCTGTCCAGCAAGCCCTGCTCTGGGCTGGGTACCATCCTCACAGCGTGGCTGAGGGCCTGGCTGGGCAGCTTGTCTCACAAGAGGCTGGATCACTTGGACACCTCCTGCCAATGCAGCTCCAGCTGGTAGGGAGGAGCTCCCCCTGCACTACCTTAAAGCTTGTTGCCTCCATGCCCCCCCCCCCACACACACACTGCCTGGGGCTCCGGCAGCACAGGGGACTGCCATTTGCCACCTGACTCAGCTGTCGCCACCATGATTCTGAGGTGGGGGCAGGGCTCTAGTCGGGGGGGAGCTCTCAGGTACGGAGCTCCGGAAGAGAACCTCTAGGGGGCGGGGCGGTCACGTGGTGAAGCCCCGCCCCCTTCTTTACCCCGCCCTCTGCTTCGATCCTCATTCCGTTTGGGAATGAGGATGAAGCAGGAGGGTAAGTAGCCGGGCCTTCTGACACACTTCCGGTGATGTCAGGGGGTGTAGCCTTCTGTCACTTCCGGTGATGTCAGGGGGCGTGGCATATGCAAATAAGTTATGCTAATGAGTTATGCTAATGAGCTCCGGCAGCTCTTTTTCTACAACAAGACCCCTGGGTGGGGGGGCTTCAGGGCTGGGGGGGCAGCTGGCAGCAGCATTGCCTCTCCCTAACACAGGACCCAGGGAAGTTGCCCTGGATGCCCCATGGTTATGACCACCCCTGACTGAAACACACTGGTGTTGCTGAATTTGGGAGAAATCTATGCAGGGAGAATTCAGGCTTGGTCCATAATCTTGGTGCCACCTGTTTCTGGGAGGTCAGCAAGGAAACAGTTCCTAGAACGACTGGTGAGTCTGAAGCAAATGCATGAGAGGAAGAAAATGCTAATCCAGGGGTGGCCGAACTGCAGCTCCGGAGCTGCACGCGGCTCTTTCACACAGCCGAATTTAATGTTAATAAAAAGCAAATGTGCATATTTTTTAATAAAAATGTGTGTGTAAGATTTGTTTATGTCTTGCAGCTCTCAAACATTCTGGCATTTATTCTGTGTGGCTGTTACGTTAAGCAAGTTTGGCCACCCCTGTGCTAGACAGTTGGAGGGACTGGACAGGTTTTCTCAGTTCGTGAGATTCTATAGCAGCAACCGTAGCCCATGATGGAGAGGGCTTCCTTGACTCTCAGTTTGTCTGCTCTGACCATACGGTTACCAAGTACCTACCTTCAAATCGGCGGGGGACACATGGTTCCCGGCTGGAACATCCCTCGGTGGAACACATCCCTGCTGCACCATCCCATTGCCCAGACGGGACGCCAGCACGCTGGGCCCGTAGCTGGGTGACACTCTGGCAATGGAGCTGGAAACTCGATGGTACCATCGAGTTTCCCGCTCCATTGCCAGAGCGTTGCCCAGCTA